GTTTATTTTTTTTTTTTCGTATTGCCTTGCAGAACAATTGTGTGAAAGCTGCTGGAAGATGTCTGAATTACCGGTTTTTGTTGATAATGTTCTGTATACCATTATGGTAACTGTACTTTTCAATAAATGAACCTAGTATTTTATAGGTTCAAATAGACACAAAATCTTGTTTTTATTCATTCCACTGGTAGTCTGTTTCGCTCAAATAGAAATAGAGGCCTGCCTCTAATTCTGGCCTCCTTCCAATAATGGCCTGGAGATGCACCTCAGTGAAATAAAGGCCCAGTCCTATATTAGAAGATTTACGGTACCTGTATAATTAAGGTGAATATTTTCTAATTGCAACTTTTCTCTTTGTGAGTCTCTCCAGGTAGAATATAATTCACTAAAAACAATCTAAAAAATGGAAATATGAAAAAACTGTTGTAAAAATAAAATCATTAAAAAAAAAGATTTTTGAAAAATCTAATTTGAAAGAACAATTATACTCATGACAAATAAAGGTTGCTTTTCATTATGATTATGTTTTTAAACAGAAGAAGAAGCTATTTTCCACACTCACTGTCCATCTAAAGTCAAACCCAAGGGGCCGAATCCAGTTTGCCATGGCTATTTACGGTACATATCTGGCTCTCAAGATCCACAAAAGCATATTGTGTCATACTATGACATAAAGTCCATTAATAGAGCTCAATCTGTCCCTTTTAAAACTTGATAAAGCTAAAGTGACCCGATAAATGAAAATTATTTTTACCCCCCTGATCAAGAAGGAAATAGCTGGCAACAAGAATCAGGTGGCTAAGCAGGGTGATCTGTGGTTGTGCAGCTGGAAACTTTGCAGCCAAAACCAAAACCACAATGTATTTGTACTGAAGTGACCCAAATTGTTCTCGTGCCTAAACATGATCAATTAGGGAATTTCATTAAACCTCAATACGGAAACTTGGGTTTAAAACTGCAGAGACATCAGCCGTATGACTGAATGTAACTGGAAACTGGTGATAATATAGAAAACACCAATAAAAACAAATATTTTGTGTTTGTGTCTCATTTTTCTATCACAGCTCCCCTGGTCGGTTACATCTTTTAGCATTTTTATACATTAACATCCACGTTGAAACATTAGACTGCATTACCCATACTGGTTAAAGTTAAAACGTCTTATCTAGTCTTTGGATGAAACGGGGCTGTTGGATGGTAAAAATTCTGTTGTTGGAGGATTCAGAAGTGCCAGAGAACTTTCTGTAGCCTAAAGATAGATTTGCTGAATAAACGATTGTATCATCAGCATAGTGATTAATATTGGCTGGATTTACTGTTTGCACTTGATTAGGAAGTAAGATATTGAGGCTAAAATGACATCTCAACCTTTCTGATTTCATCTGAGCGCAAGTAGGTGGTTATGATAATAGTTTAATCAAAGCTGGAAATAAAAAAAAGGTTTAGCGTTCTTTACTTGATTTTTCCAAACTGCAGCTCAGAAAATAGAAAAACAAACTCCCATTCTTTCTGGAATTTCATTTTCCCAATACGTTTTGTGTGATGGAGCAGAATGTTTCTAATTGACTCGTTTCCACATGATGATCAGTTATACGGTCCAAATCACAACAATCTGACCCCCATCAACCTTCATCAGGCGTCTTTTTTTCTGCCTGTTTGATCATGTCTACTGGTTCTGACTCATTGTCTTAAAGGGGAACGCCATTTTTTTTTTTTAAAGTGGCCCCTTGATTTTAAGTTATTACATCATGTTCTACTCACCCATATGAGTTTTGTGTCACTTGGAGCTGTTCTGAAGATATTCGGTTTTGTTATATCTTAGAAAAATTCTTGCACAACTGGAAAAAATCCTACAGTGTAAGCCCAGCTTTAATATGCTGTTAGATGCTTGGGTAACTGCCAGATAACACCAATACTCCTGAGGCCTTATATTCTACCCTTTAGTGGTCAAGGAGTTTTTATCAAATCCTTTAAATCCTCCTTACTAAATAAAATTCAAACTGCACTATTCCCTCTGGCTTGTTGAGCTAATCATGTCAGTGAGCCATGACTCAAAATGTAAAAACCGATGTTGGAACTTTTAAAACCGGGGTCTAGAAAGGGTGAAATGTTCAGTGGCGATCATATATCTGATTAATTTGCCATAAACAAAGCAGGTTGAAGTGTTAAAACCAAAACAAAAAAACAAGACATGATGGAAACCAGGAAGAACAAGGAATTTTCATTATGGTCCTGGTATCAATTTAGGAAAAACAAAGATTTGCATTTGGCTGATAAACCAGTTCATGTTCACACGAATCAACATTAGGGAGAGTCAACTGGGAAAATTACAGACCTCTCCTCATGAAAACTTCAGGACCAAATTGTTTTAGATTACATCAGAATATCACTGATTCTTTACTTTTAAGCTAGACTAACTACTTTTTGGAGCAGAGCTGGAATAGTTCAACATATCAATTCAATTCATCTTATTTCTATAGCATCAATTCACAACACATGTCATCTCAAGGCCCTTTGCAGTTCACCAGATCATGCAGTCAAATTGATTAAAAGTTTTCTATCTAAGGAAAACAAGTTTATAGCATTGATTCATTGACTCGAAGGCAACCCCTCATTGTAAATATCAATAAAGTTCATTATTATCATAAAATGTGCCTGTTTTACTATCAGGAATAAGTCACTATTAAATGTTTTGTTCTAAATCAGACATTTCGCTTGTATTTAAACCATGTTCTGTTTAAGTTTTTTTTTTTTTTTTTGTCACCAACCGGATCTCAGTCATTATTCACGATAAAGAAAAAAGAAATGAAACGCTCTAGAATCAGCCTGAGGACGTGCCTAAACGCGCTAGATTTATCAGTCAGGATCAGGAGAGCGTTTGCAGCAAATTCTCAGAACTGACATCTCTGCTGCTTTATGGTCATCTTTTAATTTTAGGCTCAGCCTTCCTGGACTTTGCTACAAGGTTTATGTCTGGATCTGCTTTGAATATCCTCACCTGTTGCGTTATTTATTCCATGCATCTTTTGACAGCTGATCTTTCATGCTGCAGCTTCACTGTCGCATTATTTGCATTCATGTTATATTTTCGCACCCTGACACATCAATCCAGGATGTCTCCTGCTAAAGGCATCAGCCCCGGCCGTCACCCTGATGGATGAGTGATCAAAATGAATGGATGGATGTTTTATTGCAGGATGTCGCGCAAATAAAGCACGTTAGTAACAGATAACTAGCCTGAATGGGACATCTCCCACCTGCCGCTCAGTAAAGACCGTGATGCCGTGCGTCGTGGGTGCGCTCACCTGATGTAGAGCCAGCTGTGCAGCGCAGGACCACGCAGATGTTACCTGTTCCTTCAGTCTCAGTCCCTTTGGTGTAAAGTGAGTCATCTGAGCGGCAGATGAGAACTGCGATGGAGTTAAACTTCCTCTGTTTCTCTGTGACGATGCATCCTCTTCTAATTTGGCCCTCCCTCCCTGCCAACTCATCGCGCTGCAAACAGTTTTAGTGGCAGATCTGCACACACCTCCTCCCCCCACCC